AAAAAATGAATAATTTCTGTCTGAGGAACAATATCTTTCAAGTAATTAAGATGCATTTAATGTGCATTACGTTTTATTGAAATAAATAATTTTTCTCTATATATAGAAAAGATCAATATTGTTGTTATTATACATATATATTTCGCTTCTTTCCTGTTTATCGAAGCATAATTTCACCGTTTTGAAACACGAGAGCACATAACTATCGAAGTCGATGCGCGAGTTACTCCCGACTGAGAAACTTCGAACTCAATTCGCCCCGTCATTATAAAGTACTTGTCCACCTCCGATGCGAGAAGTGCGAACAGGATTAACGCTTGAGAATGCATCGCCGCACGTGGTGGCACGTGGTAAATGCGCCGCGCGCGCGCGGCGTGTCACCAATTAACCCTTTATGGCCTAAATTTCTGTACACGTTGTTCCGTCATAGTCGGACACAAGTATAAATTTCGCACGACCGCCAGCTGTGAAATTTTCTTTATTATCGCACACGTGTTCCACGATAAAACGCAACGCTTTGCGGAACACGATAGTAGATTTACCTAGTGTCGCGGTGAATCAAGATATAAAAATTATTCTAAAGGATAAATCTGTAAATTCGTAAAAAGTTAACACTACAAGATAAGAATACATGCGAAAACTTTATGAGATGTAACGTGTCATAAAATATCGATATGGCTTTCGATACGCGGAATAACAGCAACATACATAAATTATCAGTTTACGAACTTTTCGCGCAATAAAATTTTTTAATTTAACATCGAATTAACCCGCGCAAAAGCGGGCTTTCGTTACCAATGCGTACATATAAAAAAAAGTTTAATATTTCTGTGCTATACGTCTCAGTAACTGGCATGTGCTTCGGCAGCTGGTTTCACGACCATCGTAGTTGAAAGTTAATGCGATCCCGCTCTGAGATAGAACATCCGTTTTAATCGGCTCAACTTGCTATTTCATTTTTCTCAATTACGACGAAACAAGATATTTAATTACGACGAGAGGAAGACATGTATTTTATTCTTCTACAGTGTAAATTGTATTAGCGTTAAGTTAATTCTTTAAAATCCGATTAAGGAAAAACTTTAAAACGAATATCACGCACGATCAGTATATTAGTTCATAAAATTAAGATTACTTTTTCTTCGTCGCAATAATTGATTCATTATTTACGTTTCTAATACATGAAATATATGAAATGTATCTCTCTGAATTGGATCTTGCGTACCTCAAGCTTTGCGATACGATGTCGCGCTTGCACGAGATATCTCGTGAGTCACTGGCTCGACGTAACACGAGCAATGGCTCATTGCGGGTATTCCCAAAAGCGAACCCGAGTCGTCGATGATAATTTCGCTCGCGTCGCATCGGTGGGATACGGTAATACGCGCGAGGTGCGAATTTTTAAAACTATCCACCGGCGCGAGAAATTCCGAGCGAGTGCGCTGACCGGACAAAGAGCAAGAACAATAAAATTTGCATAGATGTCGGATAAATAACAACGCAGAACGAGAGCTGTAAATCATACGTGTCCAGCGGCAGCGAAACGTTATATCGTCTATTATCGGGATATATCTATTCTCGCCCTGCGCTCTGTGACGCGATTCTAGTATAACGGCAAGAATTCTATTTGTTTCTCTTAAATTAATGGCGTGTCACGGCATTGTTATGCGATATCGTCTCAAGCGATTACCGAAAGAACAAAGCTATCGATCTTGGAGTAATCAGAATCAAGATAAGCGAGAGAACAATTCGTATCGGCGCATTTATATATACCTTGTTCAATGTTTACATAATGCGTGACAATACAGTATGCTATATTGATACAGAGAGTACACAGAGAATAAAAAGCAAAATTTATCTTTCCTGTTTAAAGTTCTGCTCTGGTAAATTTGCTTTAATATAAAGAGAAAACAGAATATGTGCTTACTGAAGTTTAAATATAAACAGCATAAAATGTATAAATCTGCAAACGCAAGAGAATTAAGCACATAAGTTAAGATAAGAGAAAGTAAAGACAAAAGTTCGATTTTTGTAACTGTTTGTTCTCTTTGGGCAAAAAGAGGCGCGATAGAGCACTGTAATATAAGCCGTAAAAAAGTATAAAGCCGGAGTTTACGTTACTTCCACGAATTTTCCTCGCGTTTCTCAAGATGAGAAAACGGGGCTTACACCGACATTCCTCGTAACAGCTCGCGCATTTCCATACGGAAACCCGAGACATCCTGGAACGGCATCGAGATTGAAGAGCGAAAATGTGCGTGATCATCGCGCCCACGTGAGAAAATTCGCGTCTCTGTTCACCTGGCGGAATAACGTTCGCACGTAGCTCGGGGTACTGCGACACGACTCGACTCGACGGCACGCGGCCTACATATCCTACATATATCGCGTCGAGTGCGAGTTTTGTAATACGCAATTTGACGCGCCGCGCCGCGCCACGCCGCAGCAGAAAACGTCGGGCGCGAGCAGAAAGCGTGGGCGGCTTCGATCATCGTCGAGGAAACGTGCCGGCGTACGTTGAGTCACTCCGACGACGAGTTCCCATAGCCCGCCGCCAACGCCGTGCAAGGTGCCGTGCATGCGCGAGCTGCAATCAGCGAGCACGTATCTACGTGTGCAGCAAGAGACAGAATTGTCCGTTGACGTCATCGTCGACGATTTATTCGATCCGCGCCCGAAGTTCGACACGCCTGTCGCTGGCGCGCTTATACAAGAGTGTCTCCGGCGCGAGCCGCGTGAATATTATTAGGGAGCGCGAATCTAAAAGACACCGTCAGATCAACGATGGCATTAATTAAAACGATAATGCCCGAGTTTTAAACGGCTGCGTCTTGCTCGATCAGACGCAATGACACTGTGGTAATTAAAGATTATTATAAACAACTGAGATATAAACTGTAAGTCTAAACAATATACTTTAATTACGCTTTCGAGAAGCTCTTATCAGAAGAGAATTAAAACCTGAGCACCTACGATACATGCACCATTTTCAGAGGAAAAAGAATTAAAAATTTCATAGTTTTAGCATACGCGTGTTCCGCGTTAGCTATTTCCAGAATGGCTAAATTGCATCATATGCATTGATGCACATACTCAAAATATAAAAATATGTAAAAGTGATCTAGATGTTTGCGAAACGTGTTCCATCAGTTACATAATTTTCAGAGATAAATTTTTCGCCAACAACTTCACTGTGTATTTTAGATATATCCTACAAAGGGAAGAACAGAGAGAGATAGAGAGAAATAGAGAGAGAGAGAGAGAGAGAGAGAGAAGTTATACATCAAATATAAAACTTTACCTAGCGTCAAAAAACTTTGATTTTTTAAATCAATGCATCTGCAGGAAAACCTAGCTCACGGACTATACAAGTGCAGTATAAAATGTCGAATCTGCCTAAAAATGTATTTGTAATTTTTTTTTTTCTATCCCGATATATAATTCAAATTAGATATACGTAACGAGATTTCATTTTGAGTTAGCATTTTTTAAAATCTATACCATCTATACTATTTTTTTTTTTATTTAAAGATAACAGAGGACGATAAAATTTGGAGTTTAAATTATATTTTATGTATGTATATTTGTATATATACATTATACACATAATTCTCTCTGTGCAAATTAAAGCATTAAATTATTTCAATGAAACTAAGCGATTTCTCGTGGTGGGCAATAATATTATGTTTATATAATAACGTTTGCAAACGTTCGCCACTCGTCGAACGAACCGCGTTTTCGATACGCGCGTCAGATGGAATTTGACTATATCATCGCGATGTGAATTTTACGTCACGTCGGATGCTACTCGTTTCATAGAAAACACTACAACGATACTCCAATATCCACGTTATCGGCCTGAAAACCGTTGTATCGATAACAAGCGAGTTTTTCAAGCGGATATTGCTCGACTGTGAATCCGAAAGATCCAAAATTGTTGCAATATGATCGAGACAAACTTAACTCTGTTTAAACCGGAAAGTAATAGTCAATCGTGTGTCGCGGTCGCGGATTTTAATAATTTCTATTAGAAGGAATAATCGTAAGAATCGGTGTTACAACAAATTTTTGCATTAAGATTAAACGCGCGCAATAAACGATGAGATGTCAATTGTTATCGAATTGTTTCATTTTCATTTTCCCCTCGTCAACAGCCAGGAACAATTTGCAGTTTAAATGTGTGTCACTTTAAAAGTTTGCAGAAGTTTAATATAAATAAAGCAGTCGTATATATATCACCATAGTAGAAATATGAAGCACGCTAAAGATGTTATCAATTTTCGTTACTTTCGTCATGCAGATCGTCGACGGGATAAAACAACGCTGCGGCAACTATATAGGTCCGATTCGATTGAATACACCGTCGGTTCGAAAGCCACTACTACCGATAACGTGTCTACCGTAACCCCACCCCTCAAAATCCACAAAATTCCGGAATCCGGTGCGCCACGCACAGGATGAAACGCAGAGAAGAACGAGGATAATAAAAAGCCCCTGGTTCCCGCAACTCCACGTATAGCTACCGCACGAAAAAATCGGCACGAAGATTTTTATACGCTCGAACTCCGCTTGCACGGAAAAAATATCGTATGAAGCAACGTAATCCGACGATGCAAATATATATATATATATATATATATATAATGTCGTTTTATTTTCATTTATATAGATTAAAAATTTATTTTTTATAAATTAAACTCTTTATTTTTCATATTTCAACAGCATCATACGATATTTTACTGATAATACGTCAATAATCGTGTTTCGCATATTATCTACGTAATTTCAATCCGTTGAATATTTCTCTCATATTCTTCGTCAATTCTATTATACAGTCAGAAAACAGATTGAAAGCGATTGCGTGGTGTAATCTTCAATTAAATCATTTCACCCTAATTTACAAACTTCTTATACCTCAATATTGTACTAATATAAGTTGCATTTACGGTCACATTTACGGTCACATTAATAATTTAAGTGCGGATTATTTTTGCACGTACCTATTTTCTATCTCGGGCTCCATCGCGACATATCCATTGGTGCAGCAAGATCGATGTCAGCGCTGATCCTATAATCGTTACTCGACTTCGCCTGCAAAAGAAAGAAAAACCGAAGGTAAGAACTGGAAGATATGGCGCATGATCATTGCGGTATAGTAATTGCAGTCGTAATGACGGTACGCATCATGCCAAGCATGATCATGCGGATAACGCGATTGCGTCGCGCCGTCGGAATATGTGTCATATTATCGCGCAGTCAAGATTCTCGCAGGAAAGAATCGAGACGGAAAAAGAACAGAGATAATAATATGTTTATAACGTTCGCATAAATTAGTTTCTAAATACAAAACGCTCGATAACAGTTTACTTTTCAATATTTAATTGCTATAGCGTATGAAAGTCGCCGTGCTCCGATGTTTACTCAATTTGTTTGCCTTCGTTCTTGCTTCCGTGTTGATAATGCGAAAACATCCAATTCTATGTATCCCATTTTCTTAAATCAAGATTACGATTACACACATATATAATTATTTACTCATATAATTAGCTAAATTGAGGTGCAACTGATTTTGCGCGTCGAAAGTGCTAAGCGAGTACTTATGTTAAGTCGTTTCGTGCCAGTGGTTAAAGGTTACAAATATTTTGTGGCACACACGCGAGCGTATATAAATTATACTTGACGTTATCTACATATTATGCAAATTATCAAGTAGATTAGATAGTTAGAAAAGTAAAATTAAAATTCTTGTTAAAAGAAGAAAACGCTCGTTAATTTATTATAGCACTTTTCCGTAAATTACTAAAAATACAAACATTTCTAAAATTACAAACTAAGTAAACGATTTATATTTCATTTCCTTAATAATTCAACCTTCGATGCTATACGGGCGATGAACGTGATTTGGATTTGACACGCATAAGTAACGAAATATAAATATATTATCAAAAAATAGTCATACTTCACGTAATAAAGTCACGTGCTATTAATAGTTGGATTATTTAGCGGGTCGCGACGATTTTATATTTCGATGGTGCGACAACTTTCGTATCTCGTTCGCGATCGACCCGCTTAGCTGACGTTTCATAAAATTTCCCGCAAAATATAAGGAGCGGAGCGATCGATTCGAAATCACTGGTGTTACAAAGCGGGAACCTCGCCCTAGCCGAAGGGTGTTCTCGGCACAGACGGAGGACGGCACAAAGCGGCCGCGCGCGCGCACACACACACACACACACACACACACAGTCCCTTTTTCCTGTGAATATCGGCGAGATCTACGCACGCTTTCCTCTCTAGAAACCGCTCTCGATATCGCATCTCGCTTGCTACCTCCCCGCCCGACCCCGCGGAAACGCGTAAAATTCCAGACCTCTGTTCGAAGTACGCATCACAAAATACGACGGTATCGCCGAGATCAACAGTAACACAGATGCCCGTAATCGTCGATCGAGAATGGTGATGCGCGTATAGAAAAGAGATCACCGAGCGTTATGTATTACCCATTATCTCCATCACTGATCGCTGGATTTCAAATCGTCTATTAATAAATCTCGTCTTCCTCTTTGCAGATTTAGTGAACATGAGGCTTATTTGAATCTTTTAAATCAAATTATCCTTTTCTCACCTCCGTTTCTTATAATACATTTATTATATAATATGGTAAATGTAATCGAGTGATGAGATGAGTGGTGAATGAAACAGCGGTGATTAAATTTTTCAATTACATATCTTTTTCCCCCTTTTCTAACAAATTTGTGCAGATTAAACATACGCAGTTTTTGATTATTTCTCTTTCGTAAAACGTTTCGAGAACATCAAGGACGATTTCTATTCTCTTCTATTCCGTTCTATTATATTGCTTCTAAATTGCTGTCCTCTCGCGCATCCTTTCGCCGTTTCCCTCATCCCTTTCGCATTCTCTCTCGCACGCATACACGCGCGACATACGATCGGACAAAAGATAATCGCGGAGCTGCCTGTCGTGTTCCACAGCGCTCGGCTTTCGGGTGTGCTGGTTTCCCGAAGGGGATGACGCCGGGCGTCGCGAGGTAGCGGCAGGACAGCGGGAGGGGAAGGGAAAGGGACGAGGGCCGCAACGGGGACGGCAGTCGGAAGAGAGAAGAGACCGAGAGAGCGGAGAGTCGCGCAAAGCGAAGAGGAGTCGGCCGGCAGGCAGGCAGGGGGTTGGCGGGCGAAGGGTGAGGATCGGAGGCGGCCGGGTAATGGGGGAGTCGGTACGTGGGGTGGCTCGGTGGTACGGCAACGAGCGGTTTCGCGGGCCTGTGGGTGGACAGGCGGAGGACGGAGGGGAGGAGGGGAGGAGGCGGCGGCGGCAGCGGCAGCAAGGGGGTAGCGCGGCGAGGGACCGGGTGGGGTTGGTTAGGCGGACACCACAGAGGGTGACGTAGCGAAGGGCGGTATAGGGTGGATGAGGGAACACGGGAAGACGGGCGGGAACGGGGAGAGGGATGGTGGTAGCGGTAGAGCGGAGGAGGCAGCAATGACGACGAGGCGCTGGTTTGAGTTTGTGTGAGCACGCGCTACCGCTCTTCGGGTTCTATCTGCCCACGTCCCTCGTTCTGCGTATCGCCGTCTCCTTCTCCGACCTGTTCTCTCCGTCGCGCTCGTTATCTCGATTCGCCCGCGTTCTTTCTCCGTCGCTCTATACCGCAGCCGCTTCTTCTTCGTCCCTCGCTTCGTTCCTGACACTCGGAGAGCGGATCCTCTCCACCACCCTCTCTCTCTCTCTTCCCTACCCCCTACGTTGCCTCGTCCTCTCGCGACAGCCGCATCGGTTCACGTTCTACGTCCCTCCGGCTGTTTCCCTCGCCCTATCTCTCTCTCGATCTATCTATCTACCTTCCTCTGGCGCACGCGAGCACCGCGTATCAATCCGTCTCCGTTCCGCGCTCCGTATCTGCTTTCTCGCACCGGTTCTCTCGTTCTCCCTCTCGCTCCTGCCGCTCCTCCGCGCCGCGCGCTTCTCTCGCTCTTTCTTCCGCTGTAGCACCGCTAGCCGGTCCTCTCTCCGTTGAATCGCTATGCGCGAGACAGGCCGGGCACGGGGAGGTGAAGCGAGAGGAGAAAGAGGCGGAGGAGGCGGAGGAGGAGGCGAGTTCACGTTCCATCGCGAAGCACTGGGCGGAATTGGTATATCGGAGGATAGAGGGTGAGCGCGGGTAGGCGAAGGATGGAGGAAGGAGGACGCGGGGACGCGGCGCTCGTAACGTAGCGACGCGCTCGAGACGCGGACGTCGTTTGAAGACGAGTTCTGCTGTGTGCTGGGAGGCATTCCGGGTTGTTGCACCGGAAGGACAGGCGGCCTGGGAGCCCCGATGCGCCGCCGAAGTAAGTTCTGCTGGAGCTTTAATGGAGGACTTGGATAATTAGCGCGAGTGCAGATCCCGCTGCTTCGGAGTCGGGGGACGACGATGCGACGAAGAATGCAAAGAACTTGTCTCGTAATACGACCGACGCGGCGCGGCGCGCTCGCTCGAGAGCTTCACAGAAAACGACCTGTCTCGGTTTTTGAACGTATCGCCGAGAGATTTGATTCAGGACAGAACACGTCGAGAGAAAAAGGCTTCAAATCTGAATCGCTATTAGATTCTCTTTTTTTTCCTGCCAAGTCATATTGAATCGTGCATTCGAACGTAATATGCAGAATGCATAATCGCCGATATCAATTTGCAAGTTTTTGCAACAATCAACATTTTTTTCTAACATTGCTAAATTTAATATCATACTTGGGGTACGTTCCACTTAAGGATGTTTTATACGTATAGCTATATGTAGTATAATTTTGTTTATGCAACACGTGCATGGAAAGTGCCCCATTACGCACGCTACGCGTGCGTGATAGACCACTTTCCAGGCACTTGCAACATAAAATAGGGAGTGTAAGCCGTGTGTAAAGATGAAAATTCCCGGGTGCGGTTACCGCACTCGCCTTCGGTTCGTGCGTAAATTCCGCACCCGGGAATTTTCATCTTACGACACTTGTTACACAAATAACTATTTCTTATTTAAACAGTGTAAAGCTAGTCTAAAAAATGATTCATAAACAACATGTTACTCTCTAAATATTTTCGAGTGAAAATTTGACTCTTGGCTTGAGTGAATGCACTATCAACTCTTCACAGAGTGACTTTACACTTATTTTCACTCGATTCGAGTGAAATCTGTGACTCGAACTATAAAGTGAAAATAATCTTAATTATTCTCTCGAAGTGTCGGAGTGAATTGTGGTACGCTGGTTCCGAGCAACTCGGGTCGAGTGAAAATTTACTTGAACCGAATGGCTCAGTTGCGTAGCCCGCGCAAGAGACGTGCCATGTTACAATGTCGGGCTTACGTGATGTATATTTGTGTTTATACCTAAAGATTTCGAAGAATTGTGGATATTAGTGCGTGGATTTTGTGAATATCGTGTTAAAAGACGAACATGTTTCCTAAGGTTGATATAACCTCACCACACGACATTTCTATCTATTATTTTCGAACGTTGATTAGGTTAATTTGCTAAGGCCTCCCATAAAACCGTCCGTCGCCGCCGACGACGAGGGTGCAGCCGGTCAGCTGATCGCCCGGGCATCCAGTATCGCCTGCACGAAGTTGTCCGTGTAGTGTTGCTGAAAGACCTTGACGGCCTTCCACAGACCCGAGATGCCCGGCTTCTGACCCTCGTACACCCGGGTGCTCACCGTCAGGCTTGTCACCGACGTCGCGGTCATGCTTGCACGGTGGTGATTCCGCGGGCACAGATCGTAGCCGCGACGGCTTCGCGACGCCTCCCCGTGGATGGGATCGTCGTGCATCGTGTCCTGATACCGACGAAGAGCCTCCTCCTCGCGTGCGACCGCATTGCAACTCACGGCTTCCCGATTCGTTTTTCCTTAAACTAACTATTAGTTAGTTTACCAATAGGTTGGAACAACTGGGCCTTAGCAAATTAACCTAACCAACGTTTTAAAATAACAGGTAGAAATGCTATGTGGTGAGTCTTAGGAAACATGTTCGCCTTTTAAGTAAAACTTTACTCTAAGAACGAGCGAACAGCAAAATCAGACACCTGAAGAAGGCACTCTGAT